AGGCTGGGCCCACCCTGCTGGGGGTGCAGGAAAGACTATAGATGAGCACACATTTATTGAATAAATGTGGTGTTGTAAGTAACTTTGTTGGCATATTTGAACACATTACTAAAAGATGGTCCCAGCAGGCTGGAAGGGAGGAGACCCCTGACAGGATATGAGCACTGCCCACCCAGGATCAGCCAAGCAGCAGGTGTAGTCCATCAGGGACGACACAATGGCAAGCCAGAACCAAGTGTGAAAAGGGGTGGCCTGAAGAGGACAGGAGAGTTAGCTAGGAAGGGATCTGTGGGTTACAACTAAAGCACTTTGTCTAACTGGCCCCGACCTACCTCCTTCCCAGCTTGGGTGAGCCACAGTGCCACGCTGAGCTCTAGTTTCTTCATGTATAACATGGGGGCTCCCCCACGGGCTGCAGGCCTGAGTGATAATGAAGTCCCTGGGCTCCTAGCACAGCATCCAGCACACAGGAAGAGCAGCTTGTGTCCTCGTCTTTGCACAGGGGAGCGAGGGTGCTGAGCCAAGGAGGCTGGCAAGCTGAGCAGGGCACATCTCATTCCACTCCTGGCATCTCTTATGCAGGCCCCAAATGCACCATGACAAGAATGGAGTCAGGACTGGACACGAGCTCAGATGCTGCTGGCTCTCCACATGGCCTCTCCATTCACATAGTAGCCACCTCCTTGTTTCGCAAACTCAAATCCCAAGCCCTGGCCCTCAGAAGGGCCAGAGGGAGGAGGAGAATGGGCAGCAATTCTGGGTTTTCTTCAGGGGCTGCTCTTGTCTCCCATCCTCCTCCCTGCCATGCTAAAACTACTTGGTTCAATTTTGGATACCAGTCGAGAACCCTTAGGTGACTGAGGGCTGCTAGTGGAGGTTACAGAGGTGATCAGGGATCAGGGCTCCTGATCTCATGAGGCAGATGTACCCCACCAGCAACTGTGTATACCCCCCAAACAGTCAAGGGGCAGTGGTGGGCTGTGAAAGCTTCACCAGGCAGGGGGGCCAGGCAGCACTACTCAGGCTCAGACACCACCAAGACCCAAGTCTACATGAAACCCTGACAAATTACATCACCTCCCTGAGACTCAGTTTCCTCAACTGTAAAATAAAGGTGGTTAGAGCACCTACTACATAGGGGTTCCTCCTTGTCTCTCTTAAGTAGCTATGAGGAGGGGGAAGGGGAGGAAGAGGGGATTGGTGATCATTTCAAACCATCTCCACCTTTATCTTTGGATGCTCCTGCCAGCTGGAGTTCACACATCTGCAGAGTACACAATTTACCAAGCATTCTGCCTAACAGTATCTCAGGGAAGACTCATGGCAGCTGTGTGAGGTCAGGAGGGAGGTAACTGAGTATCTTTCCCTTACAGATGAGCAAACTGAAGCTCAAAGAGAGAGCGAGTAACATCCATAAGGTCACACAGCTACTAAGTAGCAGTGGAGGGATAAAACCCAGATCTTCTCTCTCCTTGTGGCCCCCTTTTACTGTTTGGAGACAGAGTCTGAGGCCTATGGGGAACAGATTTCCTGACTTTGGAAACCTACACCCCCTATACAGTATGCTCAGACCTCCTCCCAGGGTGAAACTGAGCACTCCCAGTTGAATTGAGCCACCAGTACTCTGGCCCTGGCCCTGCTCAGGCAGTGTTTGGGGAAGGTTTGTGGGGTAGGCTTTTAGGGTTCATCTCTGAGAACTGCACATCCCTGAGGCACAAGGTAAGATGAGCACAGCAGAGCAAGGGATGTTGGGGTGAGGAGCCACCGTCACCCAGAGATCTAGCTTCATCCAGGGCTGTCTCCTCCCAGAAAAGAGGTGGGCTACAAAAATAAATTCATTGTCCAGTATGTATTTAGGAATGCTCCTGGTCCCACTCTCTAAAACCTGATGAGGAAAGTCTTGTTTTCACTTTTGAGACAGGGACTTGCTGTATAGCCCAGGCTGACCTTGAATTTGTGATCCTCCTGCCTCTGCATCCCAAGTTCTGGGATTACAGTGTGTCCAACACTATCCCTAGCTGCCCCAGCCATCCTCCCAGCATGGATTTAGGGTGGTCTGAACTATTTAGAGATGAGGAAACTGAGGCTCCAAGGGAGGGAACACTTGTCTAATGTCTCACAGCCAGAGGGTAGATATTCATCTGTCGGAAGCTTATGTTGTTCCATTCTCGGAATTGCTGAGGGTAAGACAGTGATGGTTCATTCCATGTGTCAACTTGACTGGGCTCTGGGGTGCTCAGATATTTGTCTAAACCATTTTTCTGAGTGTTTCTGGATGAGATGAGCATCTGAATCTGCAGAATGAGCAAAGATGATGCCTTTCCCAATGTGGGCTGGCCTTGTCCCATCCATTGAAAACAAAAGGGCCAAATAAGAATTCCTCTTGCTGAGGGCACTCATCTTTTCTGACCTTTAGACTTGAACTGAAATACTGGCTGTTCTTGGGCCTCAAGCCTAATTGGTTTTCAGACTGAAATTTGCACCTTCAGCCTCTCCTGATTCTCAGGCCTTTGAACTTGGACTGGAACTATGTATCGTCTCCCCTGGGCCAACAGGAGCCACTGCAGAGGCTGGGACTTCTCAGCCTCCATAAGCATGTGAGTCAATTTCTTCTAGTATATCTCTTTATACATACAGAGATAAATAAATATGTACACACACACACACATCCTATGGGTTCTGCTTCTCTGACTAACAAAAAGACCAAACCTTGAGCTCCCAGGTAGGCTGGCTGCATATTTGAGTGTGGAAGGCTCAGCGGCCAGGCTTTGCCAGAAACATAGAACAATCATCTGATTTGATCCATAAGTCCATGCTGTTCCCAAGTTCCCAACAGGAAGACTGGCAAGGGAGGGGCCTGGCTGGCCAAATGAGTCCAGCTATGTAGCAGGAAACTTGATTTTTTTTTTTTTTTTTTAAAACAAAACATCCCAAGTACTCAGGAAGAGATGCAACTCCCTCCAGGCACCCTATTGTAAACAGCAATGCTTGGAAATCCCACTAGGTGGGGTCAGTGACACAGTAGAAAGGGCAGAATTGCAGCTCCGGGAGGGAAGACAGGAGGAAGGCAAGGGGTGTGTGGGGCAGGAGTTGGAACTTTCCCAGCAGTCCCCAAGTTGGATCAATACTCCCTAACTCTACCTAGTGTGGCTTCTAGCCAATGGTGTGAAAATCAATAGTGGGACCCCCAACACTTGAGTGTACTGCAATTCTAGGTTTCAAAGTTATTCCCATCTAAGTCACTACTAAGCCACAAAGTGAAGTCTCTGCCCAAAGCCTTAGAACACCTGGCAGGGGCAGCTCCCTGCTATGTGTGAGACCTTTTCAAAGAGAAAACTCCAGACAGGACCTTCCATGAGGGAGTATCTATGAACAAATGCTCCAACAAAGTAGTCACAGGGTGAGGAAAGGGAAGAGAGACAAGAGGCAAAGAGGACAGCAGGGAGAAAAGAAATGGCAGAGCCCTTACCCTGCATTGAGATTCTGCAGGGCACTGTCCTGTACCTGCTCATGGTGAGATGAGGGCTGAGTCCCCCAGGGGGTTCTCTGAGCCCTGCTGCTCTCAGACCAGAAGACGGAGATGGAGAGCAAGAATCATCTCTGTCTTGCCTTCCCCTGGTTGATCCAAATCCAGGTCCCAGAATACCCTCTCCTCCATCAAGTGCAAAAACCCTGTCCCGACTGTCCAAAATTGCCATCTCCAATCCACACCCCTTCTGAGGATGCCAGGGCAACAATCTCCCCTGCCCTGAGAATGCTGACATGGGAAGACCCTGAAACTGACCAACGCCCCCACCCATCCCCTCCACCTCCCATCTGCCCTCCCCACCATCCCTTCCCAAACTTGCACTGCCTGGCAGCTGCTGAGCTGCCTCGGCCTCTGTTGCTATGGCAACAATGTGGCTTCCCCCAAGTGGGAAGCCGGTTGCCAAGGCCCTTGTTGCCAAAGGCTATAACAGCCACTCTGGTGCATGAAGAGGGAGTGAGAGCTTGTGGAAGGTAGGAAGGAGCAGGGGGGTCTCCAGAATGGTAAAGTCCAGGCAGCCTCCAGCTAGAGTGGGGGTACCAGGCCCCAGGGAGAGGAAACATATCATACAGGAGCTCAGTGACACCTCTCTGGGGGCATCTGAGAGAAGAATGGGGATCCCACAAGACACACCTAGACAAGCTGGACCAAGCAGGACCAGGCATGCCAAACACCCCCCTCCCCAAAATACATACACACACCAAGAGAAATGGCTCCTCAACTCCAGAAAAAGCCCCAAGGAATCTCTGGCTTGCTTGCTTATGTATTTCAGATGGGTACACACAAGCTGGGCCCAGAGTTGATCCTTATTGCCAGGAACAGCCTTAATGACAAGGAGTGTTACCCTGCACACATTCCTAGCCCCCAGCCCTATCTCAGATGGAGCATACTTCATATTCCTTATAAAACACCTCTCCAGGGAGCAGAGCTCCAGCCTCTGCTGACAGCAAGGGAGGTGGACACTCCAGAGTTTATTCCCTTTCTTTGAGAACAAAGCAGGGCTGGAGGGGCTTTGGTCCTGGGGGGCAGTATGGGAAGCATAAGGCCAGCCTTGGCTTCTCAGGGCTGGAATCTGGACATGCAGTGCTGACGGGCCAGCCGCCTATGCATCCATGCCCAGTGTGGGCATAGACAGAGGAGCCTGGGATCTCTGGAGCCCTGTCTCCAACCTGCTTAGGAGGGACTGCCAGAGAGAACTGTGAGAGGAGTGAGTGTGTCCAGGAGGCACAGGAGCAGACAGCTGGCACAGGAGGGAGACAGGTGCAGGTGGGAGCGAGCAGCAGGTGGGGTAAGAGAAGCCTGAACCTGAGAGGGCCCCAAATGGAATGAGATGACAAGGGCACTAAGAGCAGCCAGGACACCCTCCCCCAGTCCTGCCCAAGACACCATCCCAAACAGACCCCAGCCACGATGGCCATCACCCCTCCCCAAAAGTCCTCTCCCCAAACCCAGAAGGAAAAGCAGGTGTACCTACCCCAGGTGCCAGCCCCTCGGGTGGGGTGGGGGAGATGCTGTCCCCGCTGCCCTGGCTGCGGGCACTGAGCTGGGGCGACATGGTGGGCGACTCATCGATGTATGGCATGGTCTCAGAGCCCTCAGGGGGCCCCTTCTGCTCTTCATGCCCTTCTGCGTCGTAGTCGTCGGCTCCGTAGCTGAAGTCTGAGACAAGGAATAAGAAAGGCCACTGAGAGTCCTCCACGAGGGCTGCCAGGGACTGATAGCGCAGTGGGCGGCGGCGGCGGCCCCCGGCTGCCATGGCCCCCGCTGCACCATGCACACCCGGCTGGGAGCACCAGCAGGCACCCCTCTGCACGCTCCTTGCCCCTTTGCTTGGTCAAAGGCTGCTGGGAGCCGAGGAGGAGCGGCTTGGCTGTCGCCACCCTCTTAATAGCATGTCAGCCACTCGTATTTGGAGCTGCTGTTTCCTTTGCCTCCTGCCTAATTTCACATCTAAAAATTAACAGTGGGATCAGGAGGCAGGACGCTTTCAACTCTCCTCTCTGAGTCACCATTTTGCTTTTTATAGGGAATAAGAAGGTGGGGGCGGGCCAAGCGATGTCACTTCCTCAGCCCCTCCTCCTTGGGTACCATTTGTACACTGAGCCCAGTCCCTCCAGGAAGGGTCTGGAAAGGTTTGGGGGTGGGAGGTGGAGAAAGTATGCCCAGGGGGGCCTTTGCCCCTCCAAACGAGGCCCTGTGTGCAGGACAGATCCCAGGCAGGCAGGCGTGGGCAAGAGGCTGTGCCCAGGCCTGGCAGGGACGCGGTGAGCTGCAGACTCCTCAAAGGCAGCATTTATGTCTATAATTCCAGTGCAGGCTTCCTTCAGGAGAGGAGGGAAGGAAAGACGGCAGGAAATTGGGCTGTGTTAACCCCATCCATGCTGCCACCACTCAGGCATCAGTGCCCATACAAATACCCCCTCCTGGGGACAGCAGGCCAGGCCAACGGGGGACAGTGTTCTGCACTAGAAAGGGCTGGCCTCACAAAGGCTCCTGCGTCACACCCCCCAGTGGGGTCTCTCCTGCAGCATGGTGAGGGACTTCCCATTGTCTCACTCTGCCACTTGGCCCATTGCCTCTGCCAGCCCACAGAAGCCATGACCTGGATAGAGAGCCCAGCCTGGGCTGCTGCTTCCAGAGGGAATGCTGGGTCCTAGGATTTGTACGTCCTGGAACAGGGGACACTTTTTACTCCTGTCTAAGTCTACAGGCACAACCCTGGACACCAGTGGGAGCTGCACCATCACGGGTAGATAGACACAAAGATCACAAGGTCCCCCTGGCCTATGGCAGCCTTGGGGTCAGCAGTGGTCTGTTCTGCACACTCAACTGTCAGCAGCTACATGCATCTGTTAAACAGTACTGAGCATCATCTAGATGGGAGGTGCAGGCCTGTCCTGTCTGCCTTGACATCACTTCTTCCAGGACATCTTGGTGTCCCAGCTCATAACACCTATAGCACATGGCCTCATGTTGCCCTGTTGATCCTGGGGCAGGAACGGGGTATCTCAGCCATGACTGGAGGCTAGCACCCACATGCCTAACCAAGGCAGGCAGGCTCTCGTAAGCATGAGTGGTGAGAATGAATGAGCACAGGAAGGTACAAACCATTCCTCTCAGGTCTGAGCTTTGAGCCAGGCCCTAGCAAGGCACGCTTCCCTGCCAGGCTCTGACTCCTCCTCCTCTGTCACAACACACCAGCCCACAGGCAGCCAGCAGCCCGAGAATGGTGTCAACAGGTCACTGGGGCACTCGGCCACAGCCACATTCAGTCCAATCTGGCCCTTTGGCAGCCAACAGCTCCCCCAGGCTTGCTGCACCTGCTCCTGCTGACTTCCTCTCCTGGTCCATTAGGTTGTCTGGGGACATGGGCTACTTTTTCCCAGGACAGACACACATATACACACAGGCCCTAGTGACACCCACCCCGGCTGCTGAGATGGATACATGCAATGTACTTGAGAAACAGGACCCAGGCCCTGGAGGCCTGAGTCTGTGGCTGGCAGGAGGGGAGCTGACTCTGGTATTTCCCTAGGGGCAGGAGGAAAAGGGTTACAGGGTCCCATAAGCAGACTGGTGCTGGAAGGGACTTGGCTTTCTGGAGAGTCCTGCTCACCTGGGCAGGCGTGGGAAGAACCTGAAACATCACATTGACCAGGCAGTTCCAGGCTGCCCTGTCTGTATGGAGCCAAAGCTGTGGGCACGAGCCATGGTGGACTCTAGCCAGTCAACAGTTCAGGTTCCAGCAGGCTGACCCAATCCCAGGGGTCACAGGAATGAAGCCCATACTCTCCAGATATTTCCCAAGGGCAGGATTCATAGAAGGAATGGGGAAAGAGGCCTGGCACCCCCAGCAGGGCAGGAAGGTCTCTTCCAGCCATGGCATGCATAATTCATTGGACAACAGAAGCCCACGGACTCCTGTTTGTCTTCATGTAATCTCATCTCCCCAATTCACAGACAAGGTCACTGAGTCTCAGAGATTTGGCTGAGGTCACAGAAAAGAACTGAACACAGGTTTGTCTGTCTAAGTCTCCAAGGGCCATCTTTTCTCCTCTGAATCTCATTCCAGAGACATCCCCCTCCTCGGCCCTCCTGACAGCAGAGGCTGACCACAGAGGACAGCAAGGGGCACCTTAGGGTGAGATGCAGAGTCCTCTTTCATTCCCACCCTCCATGAAATCCCAAGAGCTCAGGACATTCCTACCAAGAAAAAGGATACAGGCAAAGATGGGGAAACCAACCCACCAAGAAGGCAGAAGCCCCGGGGATGGAAACCCACCAGGCACAGGCTTCAGTCTATGAAGGCCATAGGGGAGAAAGTTGGGTGAACTTGACCCATAGTTCTCAGAAGAAAGAAGGCAGGAAAAGCTGCTGACAGCCAATTCCATTTCTCTGCTGGGTAACAGAAATCTCATTGTATTTGGAGTAGCAGTGTGCCTAGTGGCTAGTTAAAAAAGACTACTTTTCCTAGTGGTGTGGGCCACGTGGTCTTGCCAATGAGATGTTAAGTAGACATGCATGAGACTTTGGGGAAGACTATTAAAGGAGATACACTCCCCCATTCCCCTATTGTTCTTCCTCCTGTTGCCAGTTTGGAAAACAGATGGCATGGCGGGAGCTATGACAATCATATTGAACCATGAGGTAACCTCAAGGATAGAAGCCAGCATTGAACATGGATGAGCAGAAGAAGATTAGGAGTCTGAGTCACTAATGACACAACACAGCCTCTACACCACCCTGGGATGGCAGGCCTCTGGACTACTTTTACATGAGAGAGAAAAAAGTGCTGATGATGTTTAAATCACTCCTAGTTTTTTCTACTTCCTTCTTAGTCTTGTGTCCACCTCAAACATCTGCATTCCTTATAGAGCCTTACAACATACTACCACAAAGCAACAAAAAGAAACCATGAATGACTCACTCTCACAGACATGACACCAAGTGAAAGAATTAGACATAAGAGAACGCATCTGCTGGATGCCAGTTGCTCGTGCCTGTAATCCTAACCACTTGGGAGGGCTGAGATCAGGAGGATCCCAGTTCAAGGCCAGCCTGGGCAAATACTTTGCGAGTTCCCATCTCCACAATAACCAAACCCAAGTGAAATGGGCTAGAAGTGGTTCAAGTGATAGAGCATCTGCTTTGCAAGTGAGAAGCCCTGAGTTCAAACTCCAGTCCCACTCCCCCCAAAAAAAAGCATCTGTAAGCATCCACTTACAAATATATATGTGTATATATGTATATACTTATAAACTTCTGGAACGGACAAAACTAACCTATGGTTGGGAAAAAAACAAAACAAAACAGCAATTGCCTCCAGGAATGGGGTGGGCCAAGAACTGACTGAACACAAGGGACCTCGCTGGGCTGACAGAGCTGTAGAGGGCACAAAGGACCTCTACAGGCTGAGGACGGTTCTGAACCTTGACGGGATTTGGAGGACAGAGCAGAGATGTTCATCACTACTTATCAAGTAGCCCCCAAAAGACCATGCAGTCCCTCAGTTCTGAACTCTAGCTGATGACATGCACGCTGAAGTGCACGATGCCAGTGACTGAGGATACATACAATGGAAGAGGGAACAGGGACAGGTGGATGGATAGACATGAACTAGAATCACTGGAGAAAATGATAATTACAGACTCAAGATCATGGGTAAATGAGAGTGCGCTGTACAACTCTCAGCCTTTTCATAATAAAATGATGGCTTCTGCCACTGTCCTTTGCTTCCTCTCCAGGGAGAGGTCTGAGCTGCAGATCTCTCTGATTGTTTCCTGGACTTCTGTCTCCTCAGGAACCTCAAAGCCGACATTTCCCCTCAAATAGGAAACTCAGAGGTCTTTCCAGATCTCCCTTCTCCTCTCTCATCTCCTGTACCCCACCCCCAACTCTTCCAAGAACAACTCCAACTTTCTCCCCACTGCCTGCCTGCAAACTTGACCTGGTCTCTCCTGTTCAAAGTTCAACAGTTTCCCAATCACTTCAGTGGTACAGCCCCAACTTCTCAGCTCCAGGCCCTCTGTGGTTGGCACCTGCCTCTACTTTACAGAGCCATGTCCTCGTGCACAACAGTCCCAGACTTCTTCTAGGTTTCTGTAGTGGTTGAATAGTGGCCTCCAAAACGTGCCTCAGTCCTAAACTGTGATTCCTGTGAATGTGACCTTATTTGGATAAAAGGTCTTTGCAGGTGTTATGCAGTTAAAGATCTCCAAGTGAGCTCATCCTAGATTGACCAGATGGGGTGGATCCTCAGTCCTGTGACTGTCCCCAGGAGGCACAGAAGGGGAGGGGACCCAGGCAGGGAAGCCACTCAGAGACAGGTGGAGATTGGAGTGATACTGCAGCCAGCAGAATGTGGGAGGGGCAGGCAAGAATTCTCCCCCAGGAGCCTGGAAAGGGAAAGCCACACACCCAGTCTTCATTTGGGCCTCCAGAATGTGAGAATAAACATCTGTTACTTAAGTCACCAGTTTTTTGGTAATCTGTTATGGCAAAGTGAATACAGTCCCCAAACATAGACACTCAGGACCCTTGCACATGCAGTCCAGTGCCTGGAACATTCTCCTCAACCCTTTCCATACAGTGAAACACTATTTAGGTTTCAAATTGAGTTCAGCTGCACGCTTTCCTATGAACTTCCCTGTGTTGCTCAT